TTTTTTTTTTTTTATTTCTATTTACATCTTCAGCTATATCTCAATTATTAGATATCTCGGATAATGAGACATGCCGGAAGATATATTGTTACATTGGAAAAAAAAAGAAGATTTGCTATCACTGGCTCGTTAATGATATATTATAGGGCCGAGTTAACTGGAGATTGTTTCGTCTGATTTACTTTGTTCTACATGGTATTCGAATTAATGAGATAGTACGTGTATATAATATCTATATTATACAGTCTGTGTATGCTTCAATAATTAATAAAACGTTAATATTTGTTAAATGCATCCAACTTCTTCAATCTCACGTAAGCTGCTGAAGATTGAGAATAAAATGATCCTAATCATTCAATGGAAATTCTTCAACGAAATTTTCCGCTTAGGAATCTAGTGGCAAATTCTCAGCCGCGCTTAATGAAATATTAACCGAATATACCTGGACAACAGGGTGCAGTCCTGAATTCTGCTGCATTCATTAAGGGACACCACTAGGGGTATTATGTATGGCTTACGACCTGACATATCCCTTCGACCGATGTTACAGTTGCAAGTCTTCATTTTTGTCATACATTATTCAAGTGTTTTACGTTTCTTGGCTCATCCGTTATATACCGTTGCTTTATTAATGCCGCACAATCTAGTGGAACGATCAAATTATGTACACTCGTATTCCCTGCCAATTGATATTACCATGAAATCTGCATAAAGCGCGCTGATTCCACACTTTGCGTGCACGATTTCGTCGACACTTGAAAACGAGATTACGAGAAGCTCATTTACACGACTAGACCGTGACCTGTTAAAGGTAAAGAGAGAGAGAGAGAGAGAGAGAGAAACGGAGAAGAAAGACGGAGAATCGTAAAAGAGGTATTTGCCGAAGTATCGGTGTAAAAGTGTCTGAACACATTCAGAATATCTCTCGTATCATGCTTGTAAGACTGACACGTTTTACATCATTGAATTATTCATCGAGATTAAAAGTCTGGCCTAGATTAACGAAACTGAAATTGTGTTCCGGCTACGCTTCTGTTTCTTTTTTCCATTTTTCCATTACCGAAGAATGGCCAAGCGAGGAACAGAAATAAAACAGCGTGCGATACATTGTTAAGGCTACACACGTTACATTCGTTATTTGAATTCGTTTTTTTAATTGATTCGAACTTTTTCACAGAGAAAAAATATTCGTTGTTATGTACAAAAGTTTTTCGTCAGAGAAAAAAAGTTTTTCCGTTCTTCGTTTTCAAACGATCCTTCATTTTCCAACGTTTCTGTAATACTAAAACAACATTTCGTAACTGGCTCCTTCATTAACAGTACTTTTTCTTTCATTCGAATATATTTTTTAAGCTTCGTCAGTTTTGCAAATGTTTATTCTTTCACAAAGGATGTAATATAAAAAAATCTTTTTACCGTAGGAAAAAATATTTTTTCAATTTTTTTTCTTTCATTTCTGAAACTTTCTTACTTTCATAACAATTGATTTATTATTTTTCATTCATTCATTTCCTTACGTTTATATTTTTGTTTCCTGTTTCATTTGAAAAGGAGTTTCCTCCGGCACTTACTAGTCTTGCAAATATTTATCTGAGAGAAATAAAAATAGCAGATCACTTCATCAAAATGAAATACTCCGCGGTTTTTTGATCACATCAAAATGAATACATCATATTACCGCAAACTATCGAAAAACGTTCGTTCCTCCGATCAATAAATTCTGCTTACAGATTTATATTGTACGTAACGTACGTAGGTGTTGTAACTTACATGCACATGCAAACGTTTACGGTCTTTGTCTACACATGCTTGTGAAATACACGCGATTAAAGCAACATTTTACTTTTTTAGTAAATTAAATCAGAGATTGATTTTTTCTATAGTTGCGAGTATTTTCATCGAACGAACAATAAAAAAATTATTATATGAATTATTATATGAAAGAATATTTATTATAAAGAAATAATTTATTAGAAAGAATAATAATAATAATTTATTATTAAATAATTTATTATAAAGAATATTTATTAGAAAGAAATAATTATTATATGAAAGAATATTTTGTTAATGACGAATTTAGTAACTTTCATCAAATCAACAATCATTATTTGCTGTTGTATGGAAACACTTCTCGGGAAAATGTCGCATTGAGAACATTTTCACGTGATTGTTGATCATGAGATTTCAAAGTTGTCAGTATAGATTAATTATGTTTTTATCCACCAATTAATATACTACGTATTTTTTTCTTTCTCAATTCGAAGTTCTGCCAATTAAAAGTATTAAGACACATATTTGTAATATCGTAGCTTTAATTCTATCAAATTCGAGATATGAAAGAGGAAAAAACTCACACTGAATAACTTTTTCACGTACTGAAACGAAAATGACGAAGACGCATCTTACTTTGATAATTCAAAGGCTAAAAAATATAAAACGTTCTGAAGTGAATTGAAATAAACTGACAGTTTTCTTAATTCCCACTTAGGTACGCGCAATTTAATATAGGATGGCCATTGAAAAACTGAAGGATTTGAAAAAGTCATAACTTGTTCATTTTCAATCTTTTTTATTTCCTTTTTTTTACACATCATCCACTGAAAAAATCCATTAATTATATTTCCAAATAAAATAATAAAAAAATTTTAAAAACGTGTTCGTAAAAGTTATTTTTGTTAATTCAGTGTTTCAATGGCATAAAAAAAAAGTTTTTCTCTTACTATATTAGTCCAGATATTTGCTATACTTATGCACGATAGTTTTAATATTTATAAAAAAAAAGCAAAGCTGATATATATTTTTTTTTTCCTGTTTCGACGATCTCATGGAGGTAATGTCCATTTTTGCACTTTATCACGATCGCGTCCAAATAGCTTCGATGAGCCGCATTAACCTAAATTCTCCTCCTATTGCCATAACATTTTCGTCCTCTTGCAACGACCCCTTTTCGTTCGCATGTTATCGATATTTCCACCGAAGAGCAACTGCAAATTG